ACGTGCAAACTGCATGCGTGCGTTCGTGCGTGCGTGAATGCATGCGTGCGTTGGTATGGTTACAGAACACACCCATTGGGTGTGATTCAACAGCACGAAGTACGGAAAGGGGTGCACATCGTTTCACGCAATCGAAAATTATTCATACGCTAGAACACGTGATTTTACATTGTGACAATAAAATCGCCGTCTGAACCCCATAAATCGCCTCGATTCAGGTTGCACCGACTCCTGGATCACCTTCACCCAATCCCAGGATGGCTTACTTTGATTTCCAGAAATCCTAAAGTGAAGTAGGTATAGATTTGAGGAACGAACTCCGTCACCTCCAGGAAGCTCGTCTGCTTCGGGGGCAATGCAGCCTTCTCATCCTGTCTACTAGCTAAGTGTGCGTCTGAAAGTACCACGAGTCACCTAGGCTTTTTGTTAGCACTGGTTGGCTTAGAGTAAATTCCGAAGTGTCCGCATTCTTAAAAAGGAATGCTCTCACCAGCTCGCATGGGACGTAGCTTGAGGAGACAAACGAAATTAGATTACTTGTAATTTCGAAGTTTTTGGCGGCATCGATTTGTGTACAATCAATAATAAAATGAAAGGACATGACTGTGCTCCCAGAATTAATATGGTGGATGAACCTGGGAAATGCAGTTGAACTACAACTATAAGCGTTGAATTTTCGTCACCTTCCACAGGATCAAATCAGCTTGATTATGGGGTCAACCAATGACTATTAGCGGAATCAGAAACGACCTAATTACTCAATGACCAAAGCAGCCGTTGAAATGATCGGGTCACTTTTCGAGATCTGTGTCTCCGGGGACGACCTAACCATACACTAACCCTAATATGTCTCCCTGTGCAGCAAAATACCTTGTTACTCTGACTGATTTGGATCATAAGAATACCGGTTGATTCTGTTTTTTCAACTGTGTCAAGATTCGGAAGCGTCTACTGAGAAATCCCCCCCAAAACATTTCTTTTACAGCTCAGTTCTCTGATTGATGACCTACTTGGACAAATTACCCAACTCAAGGAAGACAACAAAACATTGCAGGCGGCGCTCAAACAAGTAAGTTAACTGGATATTTCTGGTGGATGTACCAGGTTGGTCCAAACATAGACATCTTACCCGTTCTGGGTAGCGGCAGCCGACCGTCAACACCTAGGTAGCTAGGAAAAACAAACACTGCATTTTAGACATGAGTTTAAGGATTTGATGCAATTTCCTCCATTGCTTCGGGTTAGTTTCTGATTGGCTAGTCGCCTTTTCCGTTTGGACGCACTGTTTAAACTCTGCTATCAAACTGTCTTGTCATTGGGTGGTGTTGTCTGGTTTTACGGAGTAAAGTCACGTGACCACATTCAAACGTGCACTAAACATCCTACTGTTGTAATCAGCACGGGTTGTATACTCTTAGAATGAGTCAGACGCAGTACGGGACACCCCGCCAACAGCAGTCACCAGCAGGCAAGAATCTGTCTGACTTACCCGGAAATCTATGGAGTTTGCAGACTGAGCAGGCTCTAACCTTTGTGAGTCACGATCCTTCTACTCATGAGTAGTTCAATGCAGTCGATAAAAATCATTCAGCCATAGCACCCTTTCGGTGTCTAACTGCCATGCCACCCGAAGGAAGTACGAGGGCTTGGATACTGCCAGGTTGACCAAGTCCACATAGGGGGAGTTGGGAGATAGAGGTCGGTTTCGAACCACGGACCGTCCGGTCAGTAAATTCGCGCTCTAGCCACCACTAAGCCATCTCGCCTCGGTACAAAAACCGGCTATCCCGAGGGGAACAACTGCACTGTTAAGCATATCTGTAATATAGAAATGAATAAAGAGCACCGGAAGGTTTTCCACGGGAGAAATTCAGTGAAACGCGCTTATTGACCCAGTACAACCGAGTACAACATAGCTTACAAACAGTTCTCCTAAATCCGAGTACAGATCCGATCGGAAGTGAGGTACGGTAGAATTTCAAGGAGAACCTCGAGACTGCTTTTATGGCCGCTCGTGTCTAGAAGACGCTCCGAAGCTTATGCGAAATTTGACGTCAGTTGCACAGAGATGAAAGATTAGTAGATGAATCATTCTGTTTCGTTTTACACGTTTCGTTCCAGTGTATCACTAGTTGCGGGAAATCCTACCCGCGGAATGGACCTTTAGATGTTCCAGCGGAAGATGTGTGTAGTGATAGACATCGTCTTTGGAGTCCGGATATTGAAAAATATCCACTTGGTTGCTACGACCTGCCCCCTCCCCGCGCACACTCAAATTTCCAGGGATTTTCATTCATCAAAGTGTGGTTTCACAATTTCGTGGGTTTTTATTTCGTCCACGATTTACAAAATCGGATAACCCTTGGAAACGATAGCGAAGAGTGATCAAATGAAATTTCGTCCCATTTTCCACTTCACTATGTATTTGGTCTTCCCGTGCACAAGTTTACTACCACTATATCACTATTTTCAGTCACAAGAAGACACGACCTTGAAGGATCGTTTGAACGACCTGGAGAGAAAGCTCGCTAACCTGGAGAAACAGCAGGTAATTTAAGTTTGACCTATTGTTTTTTCTTCTGGATTCCACGAGAATTGCTAGCTGTACGCTTTTGATTAGATCACATCTGCAACGGAGATCTTTCGGTGCAGGTTTGACAAGAATTTTTGTGATGTCCAATTTTCGACGTACAATGTCACTTGCCCGCAAACTGGTTTTCCCAACAGCATACTCAACTAAATCCAGATGAACCATTCGTTTATGATGGCTCGCTGCAACAGAATGAGCAACACCAGGCCGCCTCGTGCTTCACTTGATGCGAAATTCGGGATAGCGCAGTACGCCGTTGTCTAGGTGCAACACACTACACTTAAGGTTGCTGAAAACTCTTTGACAGCCCACGACCGGTTTTACCCTTCTTGCTGCTTATCAGAGAGAAACAGCCCTCTAGTTCCCGTCAGCCCTGTGTTCTACCCGGCTCTGGTTAATTCCGTCCAATTTGGGCTCCAGCAAAATATAAGTTTGACGGAAGCTCAGAGATCGCGCTGGCTTGGCCACGTGCTCCGTATGCCAGTCGACCGACTTTCTCGAAGGGCTGAACCACGTGAAGGGGGGAAGAGAGCCGGAGGCGGTCAAACAATGACTTGGCAGCGAAGTATACGAGCCATTACCAGCAAACTCAGCTGCACTGTCATTGCCGTCTTCCTGGATGGGGACCCCGAGACTGGCCACATCAATGGCTAGAGACATTGTCAGACATGGCCCAGTCGCCTGCTTAATGGAGCATTTGCATCCAAGCTATTGCCTTCAATGCATAGGTCCCTTCCCAATCTTTCTAATGTATAGTCTGCTGACAATTTTGTATTTACGCACGAATTCATTAGCTGCCGCCTCCAACACACAGCCATCTAACACACCTCCCCAAATCATCGGTGAACAAAACTGTGGCAGCTACAACCACTGTACGTCAAGTAAGCTTTATTGCACCTGATGATGACGATGATGACTAACCTACTGGGGTAACTGAAAGACCCTCACTGGTTAGAGGTAATCCAACGACCAAACCATTTCTTCCACTGAGCTCTCCCCGTCCGGGAAGAGAACCGCTTTCTCAACTGATGGCATCTCTATTCCGATCCTCGTGAGATAAGAACGAGGGCAACTTCAAGTGTCCCAAATCAGACCGGGGTACAACGATTTGAGTGTTTGGTTTTCGTGAGTTAGGGCATCAAACGGGCACGTGACTAATTGCACCAGACACAGTTTTGCTCTACACATGTTCCAAACGTGTTTTTTCCAGTTACACAACTTCCAATTACTACAGCAACTCCCCCCCCCCACAGAGACCACTGATCTGGAGAGAGTGAAGTAGCATTAATTGTAATTGGTTGCGAGAATTTCAGGTATCACGCTTACATCACTGGCACTCGGATACTCCTACTCCTATCCTGCCGCCATCATTCTGGTGAGTCCACACCAAAGGGGTCAAGTGCTGGACTCGAGTTTCGTCCTTATTAGGCCTCATCAGCAGTGCCTGCCGGGGTTTCAATTCTGCTCATCTGCCATGCGAGGCGAGCGTGTTACCACTACTTCACCAACGCACGTCGGGCGCATGAGAATGTTCACTTCTGAATGGGCAAACACCTTCACGTTTTGGCGATGTGACCCGGCGCCTGGAACGACCACGCATTAACTGCCCTGGTTGTGCCGATCGATTGGCCCACCTGACAGGGCTTCTCAGTCAGGTAGAACCACAGACGCTTCAAAACCTACTGGACTTGTTGCAGGCGGGAACATTCACCAGTCATTTACCATCCAATTGATGAAATATATTCTGTCTGATATTTTTCATATCTTGTCAGCAATAGTGTAGCGTGAATATGCCCTCTGTCCATTGATCATTCTATAGGCGATTCCTCCATTCTGTCCGGTATGAATTCCAGTCAAGAAGTTGTTCTCTTCTTTCAGTTTGTTTGTTTCAAACTAAGGGGAAATTTTCGATTTTCAAGGCACCCTTTGTCATTGCCTGGTGGTAGCTATGACAACCCGGTTCACGCAAATTTCCGTGCAATGCACCCGCCATGTAATCCAGGATCTTTTCAGGTACAAATGCTTTCGATACGAAACAACAATGATCAGTTTTTCTACGTTCACCTGAAAGATATCTGCCTCTCCTCTGAGAGGAGGGGAAGGAAGGAGCTTTTGATCATCTTGCGTCTCTTTTACTGACCTCCTCATGTTCCCAAGATAAAGTTGATGAATGGGAACTGAACAAGACAACTCAACCTTTCGTCTAATTCCTATTTTGACATCAGCACACAACAACGCTTTCGAGACAATGAGTCAAAGGAATCCTCAATAGTTTACCCAATACAACGGTGTTGTTGGCTATATCGCGGCTTGACTGACATCAATATGGCCAGTCTCAGTTTCCATGGTAGCAACTACAACCATTGGAAGGCGATTTTTTCTGTCACATAGCGCACCAGACAAAACCACGTTTGTCACTCTCACGAGATTTTTCAAAATTCCTCAGAGAAGGTTTGTCAGTTTCCCAATTGGTTTTGTGAAATTACCTCACTTACATTTTCATTTAAAAAAAACTCGTCATAACAAGTCCAAGTTGATTCACAAAGACGTGGGAGTGCTGCAATTCAAGGTCATACGAACCGAATGCTGTGAGAATCAAGTAACGAAGCCAGCGAGCTTCATGCTTCACAAACTGAAGCGCAGATATTCTCCACCACCAAGGCAGTTAGTTACCAGTGGTTTTTGCAGTTTGTGCACCCCCTTCTTCCTAACACTGACAAATCCGCACACTTCATTTGTTTTGCCACAGAACCAGGACGCCCAGCTTTTAAAAAATGTCGTTCACATGGACGCTCTACGTGGTCTTGTGTTTTGGCAAAGTTTGGGGACGGCAATCACAGGGATCGATTGTATGGCAGCCTATGCGAAAGCCACCGACACGCGAGTTTCTCCACACGAGACTACCACACGGGACACAGGCGGTGGAAGAACCGAAAGGAAATTGGTGGAGAGGTTACCTGAGGAATATGTAAGCTAGTGTACCTATAGGCTTCGTTTGTCCATCTACTTTAATTTTAAACGCGGACTTGTTAAATTCATGTTTGAATGGTACTGTAGTGATAACCTGCAATGTCCACCTGTCTTGTGTGAAACTCAGCTTTAATCGACCTGTTCTGTGTCGTTCAGAACAAAATTTTGTATCTTGATGAGATTTTTGTCCAGCTTAGTTCTCGGTCTGAGCATCCCAAGCTAGGCTAGTGGTCAAAACAACCGCCAAAAGTGCACAAGGTATAGTAACACCAAAAAACTAAGTCAGGGGGTCATGATTGGCTGTTGGGTCCAGACTTTCGACCAATCAGATTTCGGCCTGATGCCAGACCAGCAGGCGTCCCGAACTTTTAGACAATCTTGCGTGGGATGGGCTTCTCGGTCGTAGCAGCACCTGACTGCGAGTGGTAAAGCGGGATTCGTGTAGAATTCCGCCTAACAGTGTCTCTGGTAATGGGGGCCACTTTCGTCAAAGGATGTTTTCTTTTGGGTCAGACCAAGTCTTGCAGAGTGAACCCGAATGTTGAAACTTTTAGAATCATTTTCAAATGAACAGGAATCACGTTACACCACTCGAATTGCTAGTCTGAGGTGACCGGTCGGTTTACAATGACCCGATTTCTTACCGGACAGAGACAGACTTGGTCAGATTCGAAATTGACTCTCTACCTGGTATCTAACATCCAGTATGAACGAGTCAACCTGGTTAGTCGTCCAAATCCCAAGAAGTACGGCGTTCTATGACATCTGTTTTCTCTGTTTTCATCTTGATAAAACCACCGGTTCATACCAAGCGTCAGATTGTACAATTAGGTGGAGCTATTTTAGTTTACGCTGTAACTTTTCAGAAAATTCCCCTCCCAACACCCTTATCAGGTGAGCAATAGATTCAGCGTATGGTCATCGGTTACTTAAGGGTCGGTCACATGTGATTCAAGGGAGTACGAATCAATACCTGACTCTAAAGCCAAGCTCACATTTCTTGAGGTGGAACATTGCAAATAGAGTGAATATTATAGAAACCGATCAATCAGCAATTGGCTTAGACGAGGACTTACTTCACAAGTTGAGTGAATCTCATTTCTGAGAAGTCGCCACTCGGGGGAGCCAATCAATACCCAGCAGCGTGACATGGTTTTTGTGTCCGAAGGACGAGCGACGTTATGTGGATCTAAGTGAGATCTAATCACACCGCTGTTCAGCCAATCGAGAACGAACGGGTTTGAAACTCTCTAAGTTTCGTTAGATGCACAACGTTGATTATTCCTAATAGGGATGAAAACACTGTACCGCGCTTCCCGGCTTCTCAGCCTTACTGACAAGACGAAATCAAACTGGCCGCTGTGAATCACCGGGGTTACCAAGCTACCAGCATCGTCGTTTTTTATATCAGGATAAGGTACGATTCTCGAAGACGTGCTATCTCACTCTCAGAGTCACACTTGGAAGTGAACGGAAATTCATTTGTCCCTCAAGCCTTCTGACAGCAAGCCACGTAGGAGGGAACACAACATTCTACTGTGTTTATGACTTCCGGGCACACTTTAAAATGTATATCTTCCATTTCGGCAACAGACGTCAAACAGTCCGACCGATATGGTGGACATTGCTGAATAACTGTTGTCGGAAGGTGGGACGCCTTCTCGAGAGTCTGACAAGTCCGATTTTTTCGATAGCACCTGTCTTGTAGGTTTCCAGCTTCCTGTAGTGTTGGAATTTTTAACGTAGTTCCGAAACAACATCCCCCTTGGAGACCGTCTCGATGTGCGACACTATCGTGCGAATTTTCCTATCAGTTGCATCGACACAGACTCCACCAGACCGACATGCACGCGTCTTCCACCCCGCTGGTGTTGTCTACCAGCAAGATTTTATCTGGTCACCTATAAAAACTGAATCAGTTGCTGGCAAATTTTGTGCCTTTTCCACAGTGTTTAAACCAAGTGATGCCTCCTTCTCAGGTTTTCCACGCAGCCGAAAGGTGCTTGCATTCCCATGGTGCTCCAAACAACGCAAAGGAAACAAAAAAGTGATTGTACCTTCTGTTACTTACGTTTCTGTTTGTTTTTGTTTCCACATTCCCTCCGTAGTAATGAAACTAAACCAATAGGGTTTTGTCCGCATTTCACAGATTCGCTGCCCTGATCCAGACCTTTTGTCCACTCTCCGAAAGCTTGGTTTCGTCGCCTCCGGATATGATAATGTTCTTGAGCGGATCGATCGTCTTGAAGTGAGTGATATTCACTACGTATTTGCTATATTTCCTTACGAGTATACTATGATAAACGATGTTATAGTAAACGAGCTTCTTCCATCGCATCTCTTTGGGCCGACAACGCAACCTGATGGTTGTGGATGTAATGAAAGACGAACGGAGAAATGAGCATGCGAACGGATGTTGTCAGTTCCAGGTAAACCAATAACTGTCCATTCAACCTAATCAGAAAAACTGATCGTCATGTGTGAAGAGTTTCCAAAGCACGTGATCAGAGAAAGGCACAGTGTTGACATTTCTGTGGGCTGCCTCAAGCAATAGAATAGCGATTGCGTTGACGGACGGCTAAAGTATATTCAATGTCTTGATTGAATAACTTGACTCAGCAACAGTGTTGAAGACCCTTCAACATCCACCTCAAGATTCCATCGACGACGAAGTTGAGCGAGAATGGAGACAGAGGACATCTTTGGTGTAAAACACGCCTTGTGGGACAGTTCCAGAGAGCTCCCCACACTGTTCCCTGGTTATTTTCAGGTCCCTATTGAACCAGTGATGTCCGGAATCAGTTAAACCGCAAGTTCGCACGAAACATGTAGAATCCCGTGGTCACTGAGAGCACTAGCTTCGATTACCCAACCCTCTCCAATCGCTTCAGTCACTCTGGTATACACTAAGAGGCATTTTTCAAATTTAACACCCCCAAGTTTGCCACATATGAATCTGTACTCTGCGGAAACTATAAAGACTGTCTTATGCGGAACGGTCTGCAGCCTAAGGGGTGATATTGCAGCACTCTACTGCGATCACCGATCACTGAAATGTACTTTGAAAAATTTAGCTTTGATCCAGATGCACTCGGACTCTGAATTGTCACTGACGTAACTGCTCACAGGACGCCAAGAAACTAACGGAACAGTAGTCGAAGGTGTTTTTGTTTGAACACGCTCAAATGAGTAAACACAGTAACCTCTTGTACCGGTTTTTGTACACGCTGAGCAATGAACGCTTGATCACCGATAAGCTGCTATAAAGTTCATTTTAGTTTACACGCACCTCCTAGTTCCAAACCGTCTTAAGTCCGATGGCTTTTCGTTGACTGAGTGCGTCCAGTATCGGGTAAATGACAACAGCAATCAACTGCCTCATGTTCCACTTTGTTTTTTCAGGTTTGTTGATCACCTTTCTTTTCTTACGGCGTTTAATATGACCACGTTAAAATCTAAAACCTACCACTTATTGAACTCCCGTCTTCTCTGGACAAGCATTTTGAACGGAAGTTGACAAGAAACCGATTCACCTGGGCAAACGTTTATGTCCATAGGATAGTCGTAAACACTGAATTTTGCACTGATTTGGCAAAAAATCGTGTATTTTACAGGAACTGATGGCACTAAAACTTACACGCGACGATCTGGAGGCCCTCGGTTTTTCGCCGGCACTGCTTAAGCGAATAGATGACCTTGAAGCGATGTCGAAAGAATTACAGAAAGAACGAGAGAAGGTAACGCACGGCCATATTTTGCACATCGCTTCCGCTTGCACTCTGTGTCCGCGAGCAAAAACACGTGTTTTTTTAGTAGAAACGCAGGTGTACGCTTTGTGAGGTGACGTCCTTATTCTTGTGTGGTATGTGGAGTTGGTGAATTATTTTCGCAGTGCAGCCTGCGGTTTTTTTTGCCTGAACAGCACAAGATGTAGACGTAGTCATCAAACTAGTGTTACCGCAAATCAGTCTAGCACACCTGTCATCAACCTGTGCATTGACTCCTGTAAAGGACAGCCTCTCGTAATTCTACAAGTAGTTACTTTCCGAGATGATGATGAGAGGCGGCCACGATTATTTCTTTGGCTCAACCGCATTAAAAAACATCTGTCACTAGTACGCCAGGTAAGATATGAGGAACTCCACTCACCCACAGTGAGTACGGATTGCATGGGACCCCTGTATGCCGTGTAGTGCGATTTAAAGTGAACGAAATGTTTGACTTACCTGCCATACTGAGTCTTACTGAACCACCTTAATGTCTAAAGGCAACATTCTTTCCACAGAAGGAAGCATGCGATCACCATCTGTTTCCACATTTCTCACCTTTTTTTACCTTTGCGTAAGTTTTCGAGCGCACTGCTTTGCAAATGCACTGCTCATGTTATTTTGGGAAAGTAACTGTCTAGAATATCGTATCTGACAATGTCCTTTACTTATTTATACACTTTCGAAACATAATTGAACCTGTTTCAGATATATGTCGATTGTGGAACAAGCCCTCACATGCCGTTCCCTTCTGATGTGAGTGAATGTGTGAGGGGTTTTCAAAGCACAATATAGATTGGCCTAATCGTTTTGTTTGAGTAGTTTGATGGTGTCAGTGAATTCGTCTGGTCGGCTGACGAATGCACCCTGATTAGATTTTGCTAGCACACCTGTTTAGTTGGCTTCCCCAGCGAGATGCCTTTATTCATGAACACTGTCAAACAAGCGGTGGCAGCTGTGAATAAGGTTGTTCTTCGCTAAACTAATTCGCGGAACTCACGGAAAATAATTAATTGGTGTTCGAAACAAGGAAACGCTAAATAACCCGAAACAAAAGAATCCTAAAGGATTTCGCCGATGATTAAGTCAACTTAAAACATTTTGTCTGATGAAGCCTAGATCCTTCACACTGGTCCGTAGATGCATTTGATCAGGTCATCCGTCAGTGCCGGCAGAGTTTATCGAATTATTCATCCAGTGGTCAACCCCCTGAGAACTCACGCGGCACCGTCAGCAGCCATTGTACTCTGGCAACCATTTCGGCAGACTGCAGTTTGTATTGCATCGTTGCAGGGGATTAATCATCCTGATGGTAACAAGTGAGCGGATCTAGCCCGGAATATGCAGTGGGCTCATCAGAAAACACTGTCTGGTATGAAAAAAACGGATAGTCGTACCATCCGAGATTGATCAGATCGATCAGTCGGAGTCTAGAGCCAGCTGATGGCGATTTTAAGGCGATTTCGATGGGGTGTCTTATGTTGTGATCAAGGAGGAGTATTTGTCTTGAACTTCGGTGGCCGTGACAAGAAGGCGCCAGACAGAATTGGACAAGTATTTCACAGTGGAGGACCTTAGGTTTCAATGCCCAATGAGCCTGGACGCTTCGCTACAATTGCTTCGTAACTTACCGAGATGATAATACCCGTCTGTCCTTACCTTGAGCTGCTGTGCACAGATCTGAATAGTACTTCTAAGCCAGTTCGGTCAAAATCCTCGAATAAAGTAACCATACAGATTGGCAGAGCCTAGAAATCCGTTGGTCCACAAGCTCTGCTTCTCTCTCGGGTAAAACATCTGACTCCCCCCCCCATAGAAAGGAGGTACTCATGGGGTACACAAAGATGCCATTAAGCAGATACTTCTGTGTGCTGTCGATATAACTAGTCTAGACTTGATTAAACATTCGCTGAGGGATCTGTAAACTTCATGTATAGTTGGACATTTTCTACACGACATTTTGGCTGATTTTAGCCCGCACTCAACAAGAATTCTGCTATTCTTCACCCCACCTTACTTTATGGAGCATGGTGTGCGAGAATCAGCTATACTTGTGTCCCATTTCGTCGACTGAGGAATTTTCTGGCAACCCGAAGACCCTTTGTTTAGTGTTCGAGTTCAAGGTATTCGCCCTTGTTTATATTTGTTTCTAAACAACTGTCCGCAAGTTTGGAACTAAAACGTGTCCGAATATGCTTCTGCAATTGTGACTGGCTCCTACAGCACAAAGCTCAACCCTCAACCCGTTGGGGTGGCTCACGTGAGGCCAATGACCAGATTATACACCCTATGCTGATTGGTCGGTCTTAATGGACCGGGCTGTATTTGAAAACGAATCGGTGTCATACCGTAGTTGTTGCGACCGTCTTGTCACCGTAGTTCGAACTATAAGGTGGACAAACGCTCAGTCCCTTCTCTACGTATAACTATTTGCAGGTCCCAGTTTTGAATAACCTGGTTGCGTATTCAACGAAGAATCAAACTTCACATCTTGAACAGCGTTTCGTAGAGGACCAGAAACTAGAGGCGATAAGTGAGCTGGAGCGTACATACGATATATGGCAACCACCGCCGTATTCTTCGGACAGCTCGCAAACATCGTTGGCGAGCGATCATTCTCGGGTTTGTGCTCGACTGTGTTCTCCATTCGTTGTTGAAGCGATGTTGTCTTGTCATCTCTTCTATGCTAGCACTGAAATGTTCGTCCTTGACAGCGCATACAAATGGTGTATGACAAGTGACCGTTTCAGTCGAAAGACTCGTACGTACCATAGCTGTTGTCCTGGTCCTCGACGAATGTGACCTCTCGGTTCTGTGCGAACCAATAATGAGTTCAACTTTGGCCTTCATTTCTCCCCAATCCTAGCTGTCAACCAACAGTAAACAGATGCCTGTGCCAATGAAGACTGAGGCATCACTACCTCTCATTGCGCATGTCGTCCCGTCGGACAAGAGACCACCACGGGAGGTTTGTCGAAGATTGATCCATGTGTTTGATGTTTGTTCCGAGCTATCCCAATTTCGTTTTGCCCACCAGCGCAGAACACTGCACTGTCATCGCTTTTTTGGGTTGAATGCAGGCATTCCTAGATATTTACATGGTACGGAGACACATTAGTACACCAACAAGTTTATATTCTCATAGAGGAAACTACTCACAAGGTTGCTGAAAACTCGTCGACACCCCACGATTGGTTTCGCCCTTTTATTTTGGGCTAATAAGGTAGGCACAGTCCCCGAGTTCCTGTCAACCTTTTGTTCTACTTGACAAATACACTCATTTGCAAATGAGTTTGGTTTTCACGGGAGACTCAAGTTACTCTCTCGTTTATGGTGTTCTTCGGATATTTTTCAGCAACCTTATGAGTAGTTTCCTTTATGGAACCATACTGCGTTATCTCGAATATCGTAACAACTGAAACATGAGGCGGCCTGTGTGCAGCACATTCAGTCGAAGAACATCATAAAAAGATATTCACTCGATTATCCCGTGAAAACGAAATTGATCTGCAAATGAGTGTATTTGTCGGAAGGTTACAATTCTCCCTTAAACTCACGAATATCGTCACTTAGCAAAAGATCTCAGCATTCATAGTCATTTTCACCTCATGTTGCTAAGCAGTAAATCATTTGAAAAGCAACATCTATTGTCACCTCGGCTACATTTACTCCAAAATATGAATCGCTGGTTGCCATTATCACACTTGCTGATCGTATCATCGACTCAGGCAGGTGAGAGGTTACCACGTCATAAACAGGAGCATAGTGAAGGGCTTGTTAAGCTAACTAATATGGACTAACTCTACAAAAAAATTAACAAACGGAAGCTAGTCACGGCCTGAAAACAGTAGCCGCATCAGTCCTTCTCTCTGGTTTCGGCTGCCAGCATTTCTTTTGGCGGACTGGAGGTGTTGAATTAGATAACGTTCTTTTAGCTAAAACCGTGGAAAATGATTCTTTTAACTTCCAGGACGTGAACCTTATGATGTCTCGTAGCCTGGTCCTTAATTTTCACGAAGTTCAGCAGTCCTCATCTACCGCACCACCAGACCACCGCTGAGTCCTGTGTCTGGGATAAATTTGCCATTGTGTTAGGCGGAATTCCACACGGATCCCGCTCTACCGCTCGCAGTCAGGTGCTGCTACGGCCGAGAAGCCCATCCCACGCAAGATTGCCCGAAATTTCGGGACGCTTGCCGGTCCGGCATCAAGACGAGAGCTGATTGGTCGAAAGTCTGGACCCAACAGTCAATCATGACCCAGTATTGACCGAATGCTGGTTGCCAATGCCGTATCCAGAACGCGTCAGAAAGTTATGGCCACCTACAGCGGTTCATATATATAGCGTAAACGTCATTTCAATTGCGGTGTCCATGATGCGAGTGAGCGTGTTGTAGGCATTTGACATTTTCTTGGTAAAATACTACTCATAGGGTCGCTGAAAACTACTCGACCTCAGGCACTCATTTTTCATTTAGGTTGATGCTAAAGAGAAGTTACACGGATGAATCTCGAACGCATTTCTTGGTCACGCTACTCTCGAATGAAATGTGTCATTTCATGACAAACAGTTTGGTATTTCGGATATCGTCCCAGATGAAGGCCGAAGATAATTTTTCGCAACACATTCAAAAACGAGACAGCCATTCTAGATTGAGTTGAATCTGGCATTAAAACCGACCTGATCTGCGACGAATGTGTCAATGCATATGGGTACAAGTCGCTGTTCAGTTATGAGCTACTGACGAGGATCCAAACCTCTCTAATGAGGGAGAGAAGAGGGTAACAATGTAATGAGATATTACCCTTACATGCGGTGTTATTTAAGCGATAGAGCTTTGTTATGACGTGGTTGTGAGTTAGTCAATCGCTGACTCATGTAGAGGCCTTTTATCCTTCAAAGTAATGACTGATTCAGTTGAACCGAGTGAGCCGGGAGAATCTGAAAATGGCTTCGTCCAATCGCGCTTGATCGCTTTCCATTTAATCAGATTTTCTGAGATAAATCGGTCGATATACTGTCCGACTTCGAGTAGTATGGGTTTATTTGTGGAAAATCGTGCATTACCCGCTGGAAAACGAACGAAATGGGTCTTCTGAGTGTCTTCTGTTTAGTAGGCGGCTCTAATATTCAGCACAAGTTGAGGGAACAACAAGACACGGAAATAGATTATGCGTCAAAGGCTATGACTTTTGATAGATGTTTTTACTCTTTGTGTACTTGGGTTCTCTCCCTATTTTTGTTCAGTTTCCTTTGACTCACACCTTATAAGGGTGTAAATCTTTGCTTCCTTTTCGTTTCTGCCTAAACAATGGGATTCTGGGACCTTTGTGTGTGCTTTTCTTTCATTAATTTAAGGACACATAGTGGCGGTCTGTTGAAGACCGCCCTGGTTGATGTTGTAACGTCCGAATAAACACCATGCTTCAAGCCACACAACCTGTCTGCAATGTCGTCAATTGCTAATCACAGTGGATGCCCGACTGTATCCGTACATGCTTGCCGTTTTAAACTCTTTTCCTTTAGTATCGGAAAAACGAAGACTTGAACGACAACATAGTAAATAATAAGCCGATCGAAAAACAGATCCCCGCCGCCTCCGGTGCAGACTCGGTTCTGTTTGCGGAAGGCGGACTTCAAGAGGTTGGTGTCCCAGCAAAATTGTAAACGTTCATCATTGTCCAAAGCACCAAACACTGCGCATCTAACTTCGTACAAAACGCGCTGCACTGTTGCTTGCTCGTCTGGAATGTACCAGAATTTCTGTCTGCGTGTGTGTTGGGCTGTTTGTTTTACGCGTTCCAATTTGTTCTACGCATTGGTCTCCACCAATTTGCCAGTTCCCCTTTGATGAGTACTAAAAGTTGATAGATCAAAGGGTGTCTTTTCGGGTATGATATCATTTGAGTTCGAGATGGCTCAGTGGTTTACTGACCGGAAGGTCCGTGGTTCGAACCCGACTCGGGCGTCTCGACTTCTCCCGTGTAGGCTCGGGCAACCTCCTAGTATCTCGAGATTACTCTGAATGTGGTAAATCAGACGCGCCCAGATCCTTCATCGGAGAGAGCGTGCACATCAGGATGTGACCAATCCGGTGATCCTCTTGGTATTTAAAACCTCGTCTTTGATCATTCTCTCTTATTACGTTGTAATGAGTGAGAAGTACGAATAACTGACAAAATTCACATTATCGATACTAATTCATACATTCATACCTTAACTTTCAAGTATCCTTCATTTATCTCCTTCTGGAAAAGAAGACTTCATCGTTCGCACGACGTCACCATTAAACAGTTGTAATGAGGGAAAGGCGGCCGGCAACAAATAGTTAGTCTTCATTCTATCCCTTTCCGGTCATTCCAGTCTACTCTGCTTCTGATCTAAGGATGAAGTTTGTTGGCCGTATGAGGACGTTTTTAAAAAAATTCAGGTGAGGTTTCATTCCGCGGGGGAAGTTACTTTTTCTGGAAACCCTGAAACACCATTTGTGTATCCAGCTCCTAGGGAATCCTAAGCAACGCGTATACCGTGAAATCCTATCGGGATTCGGACCCGCGATCTCCAGGGAAAGTAGAATCATTCATCCTGCACTCACTCAGTTCACATCAGGGGGTGATACAGCGATTGGTCCCTCGATTGACGTCATTTGGAAGGTTCACGCAAATGACTTCACGACTTAAAATCCCTGACATAACAGCCAGATACCGAAAAGGCTAATGTTGTAAGATTAGTTTCTTGTCTTATTAGTGTAAAGGCATTATAAAATTGCCACAAGAAAAGACACTACAGTGCTCCCTGAACGGACGGGAAAAATAAATCTTGATCGTGTAGCTTCTTGTTGATCAGGTGTGAGATTTCTTTAAGCTGACGATCAAAATCGCTGCCATTCTTATGATCGATTGAGTCTGGACGGTGTACCAGTGATTTGAAGCCGGGTAATCGAAGCGGTAATCCACGATGTTTACTACTGGGTGTTTCAATCTAGTAAACACAATCGGTCCACAAATCCCCTAAACTGCCTGAATGCCTCCAGATCCCGCATCCCACAAGCACTGTGCAACGTTTTAGTATCGAGTGAGACCAAGATCTTGTCGGTCGAAAAGTTACTGATGACCGTTTCGTGTGTTTTATTAAAGCGTTTGCGTATCAAACTGTATCATAATCGATAAAGTATAGAATCTCAAATAAAATGGCTTCAAAAGTGGCTAAACCAATCTTAATTTCCAAACGTACTGGAGCAGACCCGGCATCTGGACCAAGTTCGAGCTCTGCCACACCAGATCATCATTCTGAGAATTCCCTACGAATGAAGAGCGACAAAATGTCTTAGAAATCTCACATTTTTTAATACCCTTAGCCTCCACGTAGGATTCATTGACGAATATCCCAATGTTTCACTTTTGTTGTTCTGAATAATTCGATATTCCTTCCAAAATGCATAAAAGATGGGAAAAAGCAGACCGAAATTCAGACCTGTATGCGACTTTGGTTTTGGTTTCAACCTACTTGACAAAGGCATTTCCTCACCTTTTCGACATGGTTTGGTTAACAGGGCACGCGAAATCAAAAGTTATTTTGGTCTTTCTTTGATCGCACTCCAGATTCTGAATCATCTTCAAAGTGAAAATGTTTTGCCAACAGGATTGTTTCAACTGTACCTACAATACAATTTGTGCTGGTAGTCACGATTCAGCTTTTGGCTTAAAATAAACCGATTTAAAGACTCTTGAAGGGGCAGCTGAAACATTTGCGATGACAAACCGTCCGAAAACAAGACTGATATTGCTGACAATATCAATCGATATGTGGCGCACAAGACGAATATTTTCAAATGATGAGTGAAACTTCCATCTAGAGTAGTCCATCAAGGGATCAGTTAGTGCGTGACCACGTGGGGTGAATCCCGTGACTGAAGGATGAGCGATGCTATATGCTGTCTAAGTGAGAGCTATTCACAATGTTTTTCAGCCACTCGTGGCCAAAATGATAAGTGTTCAGTTTATCAACCCTTGAGTTTCGTGAGATGCGCCGTACTGATGATTTCTTCTCATTGACTTTTGAGCTCAAACTGGCTTTCATGAAAGGATGAAAACTCAAAGAAGAAATCCTGCTCGAGTTGATTGCATGTTACACAATGGTGACAAAGTTTCTCACTTAGTATATTTCCCTCCCGCAGACAGGCAAATTCGAGAATGTTCTCTATGCGATAAGGCTTGTGAGATCGAATACAATTGATTCAACCCGATTCATCGTAATTCCAGTGAGAATATTACCTTCCCGACACGGTGCACGCCTGTAATCACACCGCCTAGTGTGTTCAAATTTGTTTATAGACTGTGGATGGCTTTCTAACAATAAACAGTGGTGATATTTCTTGACTCAATACTATTTATAAGCTGCTGAAAGCTCTTCAGTACCTCACAACCGGTTCTGGAAGGCCTTCAGATAGAAGCAGTCTCCGAATTTCCATCAATCAAATTCCTAACTTGGACATGAAAACATGAAACGATCTTTGTACATGTTTTATTAAAAATGACTAATATCGAGTGACTCAGCTTGTAGGTAGATTTAACCTGTTGTACAGGTTCCTCCCTGTTGATCTTGGCAGTTACTTTCGATTACTTTGACTTTAATTGGTCCAGGACTTGACCAGCCAGTCACTTGGTTATTCTACAAGAAGTACGGGAGAACCGATCACGCAAGCAGTTTTTGTGCAGCATATTTCGATAGCTTGCCTCAAGCCTGACAGACCCATTTAGGCATTCTGTTAGCAGCACAGTGAAATTGATGAAGTGTCTTAAATCTTGTCTACAACTTACTGCAACTTTCGAGATTCAGCATTTCAAAAATCATTGCCACCCCTTCACATCCGGCCTGCATCTCGTAATGAATCGAAAAGACTTCTTGACGAACAGTGCATTTGCTCACAGGCTCGAAATCAAATTTGCCAACCTGTATTTTCAGTTAGATTCTTCCAAAACGGGAGCTTTTTAATGCTGATAGCTAAATGCTCCCATTTTGAAAATCTGAACCATAGGATACATCGCGTCTCAGAAGAAGCCGCTTTGAGCTGGTTGTCACCCTTACAATAACGTCCCAGCAACCTTATGAGTAGTGTATTACTCCAATCAGTCTCCTTTATACTTAAACACAAGAAAAATCATGCATTACGTCTAAGAAGATCAAACCAAGCAACGAAATGCGTTGAAACTGTGAAGATCAATTTAGAGTCTCCATTCCTGAAGAACATTCAAAGTAACCCGGCAAATGACGTGAACAAGAAAGTCAAAACAGTTTCCAAAATTTTGCGATGCTCGTGAACAAAGGAAGGCAGGATGAGAACATGAATTTGCTGCTGTTGTATGATGGATATCCGAAGGAAAGTACGGTTCCACATACTGCAGATGACTGTCATCATCAATTTCTGTTCGTTCGGAATTTGCATATTTTTAAAGCAGATAGGCAAAACGTAGCTCCTACTTGCTAGTTATGAGTAGTTTGAGTATGTTGTGAGTAGTCATGCGTCTTTTAGATATATGACATTAAAAAAACTGCGCACTTTTGTAACCACTTTCTGGGACGAAAAGGACAGCTTTGTAAGCTTAATCTACCCGACTAACCTAGGAATATACATGAAAGTTGAACAAGACGCGTGGAGATGTTCAGTTCCTAAAAACAGGGTGCATATGAGAGGTTTACTTTCATGTTCAGTTGGTTTCCTAATAAAGGATTCCGCAGCGAAAGGTTGGAGTTACAATGATGAAGGTGGGGTGATGAGTCAGGGTGGGCATACAAATGATTGCGATGATGACGGTAATGAAAACATCCTCGACGGTGATGGGGTTCGTAATGGCCGTGCTAAGTCAAATTCGTTTTGTTCTTCAAACACTCGTTTTCTCCACTAACTAACTGCGCGAGAATCGTGGAAATCCAGGTAAGCAACTGGTTTACAAACCCTCTCGGGGTTGAATGGGGTGCCAACATTTTGTTATGACGCAATTCACCGCCATTGTACTTGCTGCAAGTGCACGCCGCCTGACACTACGTAGCCCAAACACTTTTGTGGAACGATTCTTTCCGGGCCGCCAGGAATCACTTTCAATGCATTCTTTCATTTTGTAGAACAAGAAGCTCATTAAAAACCTTCAGGAGAATCTGAATACACTCCGTGAACAAATCGCTCGGATAGCAGGATTGACGAGTGACCTTCAGACGGAAACGAAGGAAATTCGCGTAGACTGTAAGGTGAGTTGTCGAAGACGATGGATATTGACCAGTTTTTCTACTTGTACCCCAGTTGTATACCTGTCCTGGTTGCATGTATCCAAGCTGCTCTGCGAGGCCAAGAAGGCGGCAGCTGCTACTTTCGGCGTAAACTGACAAACAGAAGGTGGATCAAGAAATACACCCATCTGCAAATCAATTTGGTTTTTACGAGAGACGTAACTGAATCTCCCGTTTATACTATTCAGTTGAGTCTCTCGAGAAGACCAGATTGATTTGCAGATGAGTGTATTTCTCGAAAACAGTCCAATTTGGGTTCAATTAAAACGTAAGGTTGACGGAAACTCGAGGACTGCGCCTACCTGATGAGCCCAAAGTAGAAGGGTGAAACCGGTCGTGAGCTGTCGATGGGTTTTCAGCAACCTTGTGAGTAGTTTTCTTTAAGAAGATGGATCACTTTCGGTTTCCAGAAGCAGAGCCTACATCCACAAAGTTCCGTAAGACATTACCCATTAAATTGCCGAAAACAGCACCTGACTGGCTTTGCCCCTCCACATCGTGCTCACCAGGTAGGCGCGGTTCTAGAATTTCCTTTCAATCAACCTGATGTTTAAACTGAATTCAAACGGATTTCAGCAACCACTCTCATTTGCACATGGATTTAGTTTTGACAGGAAACTCCGTGGAATCTACTTGCATCTCTCATTTATGGTGCTCCATGTTTTAGTTGATGTCATGATACATTGTCTAAAGGATACAGACCATCCATAAGGTTGCTAAAAACTCTGACCGGTTTCGTCCATCCACTTCGGGGTCAACAGATAGGCACAGTCCTCAACATGATGTTTTACGTTATGACCAGTGTCTTGTGTTTCGACAGCGGACTGTGATATCTCGATTATCGTATTAAATGAAACGAGAGATCCAGTTGGATTCATTTGAGTGGGCCTTCTTTTCGATCTGCGTGAGGCATTGAAAAACCACATTCACTAGTATTACAGTTTTGCTGCCTGCTTTTATTCATACGTTCTTCTCAAGACAGACGTGAATACAATTACTCGCTATTTGATTCATACACTAAATAGTTCAAGTTCATTTGTTATGTATTCGTACAAAATTGGGTCTTATAACAAAGACGGTTAAGTGTTGTTGCTTGGACCCTAAAAGATTCGAACACTTGACTTAGGGACCGTAACTTTCTACGCAACTTCAGACATAGCTTCGAGCACGCCAGAGTGTGGCGCACACAAAACGCGGTCTTACCAGTTGGGTTGATAAGGCAGCTCGGTTAGTTTTAGTCGCTTGGCGCCGCTTAAGCTTCCGAATCTTTCCCTTGGCTTGAGGTTCCGAATCGCGCATTAGGTCAGCCTGAAGACAGCTTAAAATATGTTGTTTTCTCAACTACAGTGTTTTATAGATTCGTTAGCCTTGGGCATGAAGATGCCACCTAGGTATCAGAGCCATGTGACCTTCTTCTGCAACAAGGATCCAAAGGAAGAATCGTCATCCAGCGCACCTGCATCATCAGTCCTGAACAGGTACAAGTTTTCACGCTTGCGACTAGTTTGATGGCAACCACCTGTACAAACTGACCGAGAATTGTCGAGCTGGTTTAAAGCGCTACCGCTGTGGGTTGTCCTGACAGGCTGGTCCAGCGACCAACACAACCAGGGCAATTACCGGGTTGCCCTCGTTCGAGGCGTCGGACAGACCAATCAAATCGTTCATGAGCGAACACGTTCACCTGTTCAGACGTGATCATTCAGATGCTTTCAGTGCGCTGCGGTGCAGCAGTGGTAACGTACTTGCCTTGGAGCTGGAACTCCTACAAACGACGGGGTTTAATGAGAGCGAAACTCAAGTCTAGTAATTCCTAGCTCTAATTAACTGCACTAAACGCGATTTCGTTTCAAAAATGACCAAACCCTGACGTCCCAGTATTTGCTCTTCTGATTCACAGGACCTCCATCAACTCATCAAAGATTTGGACACACGTAAGGCTGACTACGACTATGTTGACGCCCAACTGCTCAAGGTAAGTGGTCGATTCCAGTATTATTCCATCATACGAAATCCTTCACCTTCATCTACACTGCTTGTGATCAAAGCAGACATCATCCAATGCATCTTCTGCGAAGAATTCTATTAGGCATCAGTCTCTTTCTTCCCCTATCTCGTTCAATTGCACTACAAGAACTTTGTACGCCCCCTTCCCGTCACGAAGAGGTTGGAACGTTTAAAAGTTGCCTGACAGAAATGATGCTTTTTGCGAGTTTATCGTTTAAAGGCATTGTCAGACATGGTCAAGTCGCGACTTCATTGGCGCTTGTGCATCCAATCTATTGCTTCTGACGCACAATGCCCCTCCCAATCTCCCCAAAGAAAGGTTCTTTGACACGTCTACATTTACGCATCACTCGTATCAGTTCCCTGTCTCCAATGCGGGAACCCATCTACCCACCTTCTCAAGAAGGTGGCCCAAGTGGTTAGAGCGCGAATTTACTGACCGGAAGGTCTGTGGTTCGAACCCGAATTCCGCCTCTCGATTTCCCCTGTCTAGGTTTGGGCAACCTCGAAGTATCCCAGCCCTCATGCTTCCCTCGGGTGGCATGGCAGCTAGGCACCGGAAGGGTGCTACAGCTGAACGCTTTTACAGCGACCAAAGGAACATTACATATGTTTAGCGGTGAAAAGTAATAGTTGCTCATATTAACAATCGATTTTTTTTAAAACAAAAGGAAATGAAACCAAAACAGAAATGATTCTCATGCTCTGTAACATACCGAGGAACAAAGCACGCAAGATTAGCTGCATTGAAAGAGAAAGGCAATATGGTACAGAAACATTTCAATGTTAGAAGGGTCACAGTGCTTCTGCATGGATGCTCCTGCAGTCCGATTCTTCAGAGTTCCGATCCGAATTGAAAGAATAGCACTGGGATGGAAGCATTGATCGGTTGTTTGCCTGTAAGGTTTCCTTTTTCACATGGGGGTTTTGATGTTGCTGCGAACAACATATGTTTGGACTTTGGGTTGGTTGATCGGCCACACCGACTTTGAGCATGCGATGTGACTGCTTCAGATCTAAGTTCAATCTGTTTAGCTCACCTGTCTCTGTCAGTTTCATTGTGTTTGGATCGGTAGACAGACTTTTCGGTACTGCTTTATCCCATTGGGCAGGATGCGAGTTTATTGAATATCTCCGATCGGCTGCATTTTTGTTTTGCCTGATGGCTGGTTTGCTACGCAAACGAGCAGTTAGCCACTCAACCACGGTGTAGCTCATCAGACCAAGCAACTCCAAAACCTCGAATAGACCAATCACCGAAATCCCAATCCACAACCCCATTAGACCGCCAATGTCGGACAGCAATTCCGCCAGAGGGTATTCCAGATCTTCTCTGATAAGTTCACCTTTTTCAACCTTACGTTCGATAGTTACCAGAGCAAAGTTTTCACGTAGGTATCGAAGCGCTGGTTCCGAATCATTATTGATATGAAATGACTTTCCCAATCGATTCTGAACAATGTCTACTTCAAAGACGAGCTGGAAGGCAGCTTTCAAGAAGCTCAGTCTGGCATCGTTGTACTTTTCACTCCACAATTCCCAAAGAGGTGTTCTGCGAGTCTGAATCAGTTGATGCTCAATGTCCTCACACGGTGGAACAGATCCCAGATATTCGCACTCCTGAGCTTCCGGTATGTTCATATAAGTAACTGGATCCCGATATTTCTCTAGCAAATTGAACATACACTTTGCATTCTGGCTCAACTGCTCTATCTTGAACCGACTCATGTTGAAACAGAGCACGGGTGAATCGTCAAAGTCCGGGTGATTTGGAATGACTGGATAGGGTAGGAAGGGGCTATAGCATCCACAATACTTGATATAGAGATTCTGAGACAGGATACGATGACAAAGCGTTGCTGATCCATGAACCGGATACTTTGTTGCCAGGTTAGCGTCGAATACTTCAACATCAAATACATTGTTTCGACAAGGTCTTTTTGATGGCTCTCTTTTAAAACGCTGGAAATTTAACCCAATATAATGCATATAACCAGGAAGAAGTTCAAGTGGTTCATCGTGGGGCATATGTCCAGGTCTGCTGATAATAAAGTCCAAAGTTGGGGAAACATACGAAGTATTAATGATCATGTGACTTTCTATGTTAAATTTTAGTCCGAGCGCGACTTTTCTTACCCTTTTCCTTTCATTCTCAGGCATTCCTTGTTCTATCTGGAAAGAAGGGAATAGTGTAAAATCAAAAATGCGTTTTGAGGAAGAAATACAGTATCTCAAAATCAAATTAGATCAAAACAACTGGTCTGAATTACTCAGTATTATGAGCCGGCATAAATGTATCTTTTCACGGCCATTTGTGTCTAAGGAAGAACGTGCATTTGACCGTATAAATTGGATTTCAGTTGGCTAACCTGTGAAAGAACTCGAGTTTGTCTGACAAACGAACGGTCGCCGACAGTAATAGACGCTGTGGGTTTAGCTTGTGAACATTACTCAAAAGCGTAAATTCTCGCCGACGCGTAAGATATCGATCGACGCATCCTAGCATGAAGAGTGTTCAGTTTAGTTTGGAAATCCAAGCCTTGAGCAATGTGTTCTAAATAAACTCGTGCCAGCTCAGTTACATCGCAGTTTGCTGAGAAGTCTCATGAATTGAGTTTGTAACACCCGGACAGAAGATAATCACACAAGAAACACATGACCTTTCGTGTAGTGTTCTCCCGGGGGAGTGCTAATGTAAGCTCCAGAGAAACGGTCACTACTGAGCAAGGTTCTCCATAAATTAACAGACTAGTGACAGACCGTTGATATCCACTATGAGAAAATGTGCAAACACCTGAGTATACCACTTTACGAGTTCAGTTTACGGACGTGCTGAGCAACCGGGACTGAGTAAAATCGAGCATTTCTACCAAACACAGTCAGCGGTTCTACCCCCGGTAATTCACCTTATAAAGTATGCTCGTTTAACGTTACAGTTACCAACGTTCGGAAATCTCATTGTTTAAACATGAATCCCATAAATGCACCTATCTATATTTTGTAATGCACTACTCATAAAGTTGCTGGAAACTCCTCGACATCCCTCGACCGGTTTCGTCCTTCTTGGGGCTCATCAGGTAGGCGCATTCGTCGAGTTGTTTCCGTCAACCTTATGTTCTACTTGAAACCGAATTACACGAGATTAGCGAATATACACTCATTTGCAAACTAATTTGGTTTTTCTAGAGACTCACCTGGAACCCAGCGGAATCATTCGGTTTTGATGTTTCCAGGCAACTGAATGTGCTGTACCAGAAACATCGAAAACCGAGAGATTCAACTGGGTCCAAGGTGAGTCTCTCGAAAAACCAAACTACTTTGCAAATGAGTGTGTATTCCGAACTACTCTCTGATTTTCTCCCGTGTTTTGTGTTTACGAACGACTGTTCTCTTCAGGTTGACAGCTAATCAGTGCTGCCGCGATACTCGTTTCAATGACTTGAATTTGAATGTGGCAGACACCTCGGGTAACGCTTTGCAGTATGAATGAATGCTAGACAGCCTCTGTGATTTTCAACCTGACCGAAGTTGATCTGCCAAGATGCAAGGCATTCTGGAGAAATCACCAGAAGGTGTTCCTCAAAGGTGCAAACACGTTTGTGATTAGAATGTGCTGTAAGAGCGACCGAAACCCTGGCTATTTCGTTTTCCGGTCGTTCCGGTTTGAACAAATGGCACCCTCGAAAGCGAAAAAATCGATAATGGCCATCCTGGGAAAATTAGGAAAACAGCTAAATTACTGTCTAACGAATCGGCGTTTTTTGATTCGTAACTAAATCACATCGTCTAGCTATTTTATAATACACGTTGAAATTTCTCTTACACACTAGGAAGTCTCAGAAAAATTGTCACACGTTACACAGAAGAAATCCGTTTTCACAAACCATCACTCCCTAGATGTTTTAGTGTGGTCATGATTCTCGTCAGTGACAGAAAAGTTAGAGGAGAGCAACGAGTTAATTCGTCCGAAAGAAGTCTGATAACGGAAAGAAGAAAAGCGGTCAACAAAGGAGACTGGGAGAGAACTAGGACCAGTCAATTACAAACACCTGAGGTACCCACAACTAAAAGAACCATCGGGATAGAAGCTGCAGCATAAACTCCACTGACATCGTTTAGTCACCATATTTTTCAGTGACTCCAGCTAAGCATAGGGAGAGTCACATGGACCCCATCATTGAAAGCAAACTTCACCAACGTCACCCAAACTTTTTGGAACACTCTTCATTCTCTTCTGTCATATCAACTCATTTCCACGTGTAGGTTTCTGCCACTAGGTGGGGAAAACAGCGCTCGTCTCGGTAAGCGGTGACTAGGCACGCTGAACACATGATCCAACAAACTTAGCTTGCTGTGCTGGATGCGTTCTTTCACGGAAGTGCAGTTTGCTGCATCAAATCCCCGTCACCTGATCATCTCATTACGAATTCGCTGGTTCCAGCCAATTCCAGCTATTCTTCCGAGACATCGGTGACCTGGATATGTCTCATATGCTCCTGCCGAAGTGGCCAAGACGAGTAGGCTTCTGCCACTAGGTGGGGAAAACGGCGCTTATCTGGGTGAGCGGTGACTAGGCACGCAGAACACAGGACCCAACAAACTTAGCTTGCAGTGCTGGATGCATTCTTTCACGGAAGTGCAGTTTGCTGCATCAAATACCCGTCACCTGATCATCTCATTACGAATTCGCTGGTTCCAGCCAATTCCAGCTATTCTTCCGAGACATCGGTGACCTGGATATGTCTCATATGCTCCTGCCGAAGTGGCCAAGTCTTCTAGCGGTTAAACAGTGCAATTCGCACCGTAGTCTGATTCACGCGCCCATTGAGACCCAGTGAAACGTCTTTTTGACGCCAAAAACTGGCACATATTTGCAAACGCAGTTCCGACCTTCGAGATTCATTTCCTTCATCACACTACCACCAGAGCTATTGAAACTTCCGAGATCCGTGTATTGTTCCACAGCTTCCATATAACTCCTTGAATTCTCGGAGGCAGATTCGAAGACTGCACGTCGTGACATTGCACGGTGTGGACGCGAAGCGTATGCCAAAGGAATCGATGACGTTGATGAGCTTTACT